TAGGGGTGACTTCCAACGCAGCTGGAGGGTAACTTGATTGCGGTGCGTATAGACGGGGGGATGGGCCTTTGCTTGTGTGTTCTCGTGTTTCTTTTTCAGGGGTGCTTGAGGCTGAGCTACCGCGTGTTTGCAGATTTCAACATGTGCGTATTGGTTCCGAATCATGTAAGAGGGGGTGCATGTTTTCGGAGGTGGGTAACGACCCCGTCCTCTGCTGTTCCCCCGGCAGTGTCGACAATATACGCAGGTCTGGTTCGTGCCAGCCGTCCACGTACTTCTTGTGAGTAGTGTCGTACGTTTTGACGTTGCAATGTCCGATACATTGGCCTGTATGCTTGTGCTCATGCCACTTCAGTACACGTAGTGTAGANCAACACAAAACGCAAGTCCATCACCCGTCTCTCTCTCCAAGGCAGTCACATGGGGGTGGTGCACCACGAAGTGTGGCTGGAACTGAAGCTGGTCAAACGTACTCCACACCGCTGAAAAAACACACAAGACGAAAGTCTATCACCCATCTCTCCCTCCAAGGCAGTCACATGGGGGTGGTGCACCACGAAGTGTGGCTGGAACTGAAGCTGGTCAAACGTACTCGACACCGCTACAAAAAAAACACAAAACCCAAGTCCATCACCCATCTCTCCCTCCAAGGCAGTCACGTGGGGGTGGTGCACCAACAAGTGTGGTCGGAGCTGAAGCTGATCAAACATACTCGACACCGCTACAAAAAAAACACAAGACGAAAGTCTATCACCCATCTCTCTCTCCAAGGCAGTCACATGGGGGTGGTGCACCAACAAGTGTGGTCGGAGCTGAAGCTGATCAAACATACTCGACACCGCTACAAAAAAAACACAAAACCCAAGTCCATCACCCATCTCTCCCTCCAAGGCAGTCACGTGGGGGTGGTGCACCAACAAGTGAGGTTGGAACTGAAGCTGGTCAAACGTACTCGACACGCTACAAAAAAAAACACAAGACGCAAGTCTATTACCCGTCTCTCCCTCCAAGGCAGTCACATGGGGGTGGTGCACCAACAAGTGAGGTTGGAACTGAAGCTGGTCAAACGTACTCGACACGCTACAAAAAAAAACACAAGACGCAAGTCTATTACCCGTCTCTCCCTCCAAGGCAGTCACATGGGGGTGGTGCACCAACAAGTGAGGTTGGAACTGAAGCTGGTCAAACGTACTCGACACGCTACAAAAAAAAACACAAGACGCAAGTCTATTACCCGTCTCTCCCTCCAAGGCAGTCACATGGGGGTGGTGCACCAAGGAGTGTGGTTGGAACTGAAGCTGATCAAATGTACTCGGCACCGATTAATAACAAGGCAATCTGAAACTGGAACACACAAACGCCACACGCACGGACACGCACAGAGTCCCTCTTGCAGACAAATACAAGAGTACCCCATGTCCGACAGGTGCAAGACAGCACAGCGAAAATATGAAACAACCCACGCGACAACACCATCTTCAAGGCGGGAACGTCTTACTAAACACCGCGTGTAGCAAAAAAAAACAAACGGCTGCAACAGATACCCGAGGCAGCGGCGTGGTAGCAAAAAGAAGAAGGCTCACGTGGGCCTCGAAAGCCATGTAATGTCGTTGTGTCTCTTCCGGTAAGAAAAGCTCTCGATTAGCTGTTTCTTGAGCTCTCTGTGCGCCGGGTGCTGGTCGATCGTCTCGCTGCTTTCCTCCCCCCCCTCCCCTCCCTCCTTCTCCGAAAGCTTCCCGGTCGATCCGATAGACGTGAAGTTTGTCAGTGGGTCATGGTTCCAGGGGTCGTGCAGGCCAGCGCTCCCCACCCAGTCGACATCTTCCTCGAACACGTCCATGCCGTCGAAGGTGTGAAGCATGTTGTGCACGATGCAGCAGGTGGAGAAGATGTTGTCGATGTCTTCCTTGGAGCGGAACCCGAGGCGGAGCTTGAGGATCCTGAAACGTCCCTTCAGGATACCGAAGAAGCACTCAACGTCCTTGCGCACGCTCTCAAGCGTCCTCGAGAAAGCAGTGTCCTCGCTGTTCGCCGGGTACTTGGACGGAGCGATGAGGGTCACCCACTGTTCGGCAGGACAAATAACAGCAGGATTTTAAACAAAAATTCCGGCGGGTAGGGGCTTAGATGTAGGTTATCCGCACTTTGACTACAATACATGAATATCATGCGGGCAACGCATGATCCACACCATAGCTTGGCACTGCGGGCGAGGTCACTATTGGCTGAAAGAACCGCCTGCCTGGTGCGGGTTGAATGAGTCGTGCTTCGACCTGTGAACACCAATCTGCTTGTGGCCATCTACGCATCCAAACGATCAAACGTGCCGAATCCGGCGCGGCCGTGTGTACATTACTTGAGCATGCGTCGACAGAAAAATCTGCAGCGTGACTTCATAACTTGCCCGACTTCTACACACACCATCGATGTGTGATGTGTTACGTTGTGGCATCCACGTTGTCCCCATTTCCCGGCACCAACAAGGCGTAAGCGGAAGGAGATTTTTATGTTTGGTTGGCGCCGGAAACAACGCTCTCTAAGGCCGACAAATGACAAAGTGAACTGGGTCTGCCTACGGTTGAACTACACAGTAGCCCTGCTCGAGTGTTTCCCGCCAGGGGATAATCCTCTCTCATTCTATTAGGATGGCCAAGTGAATTTACCTCGTGGTACCCGTTGTCAACGATTAAGTAGCACCCCTTGCGCTCCCGAAATGTTCCATCCGCCCTCCGGAGCTTGTACGTGCGCTTCGTGTACTGGGCATCCGTCTTGATGGTGTGGACACCTGCGTCGTAGCGCATGATGGTCTTGTCATTAGTTGCTCCGGTGAAACCGCTGGTGATCGCGATGGCTCGACCCGCGTGGTCGACTGTCACTTGGNTTAGCACCCCTTGCGCTCCCGATATGTTCCATCCGCCCTCCGGAGCTTGTACGTGCGCTTCGTGTACTGGGCATCCGTCTTGATGGTGTGGACACCTGCGTCGTAGCGCATGATGGTCTTGTCATTAGTTGCTCCGGTGAAACCGCTGGTGATCGCGATGGCTCGACCCGCGTGGTCGACTGTCACTTGGTAGGCGATGGTCGGGAATCCTTCCTTGCCCGTATAAGAACGGCCAAGGGTGAACGGGCACATGCCCCATCCGATGTGGGTCACGTCGGTAGATCCGATGGCCCCCGTCATCCCCAGCTTGTCGTACATGCACATGACTTCATCCTGGTACGATCCGGTAGGAAGGTATATGTGCTCCTCGAACAGCTCCTGCGCAAAGTGCTTGCAGAACTTGTGGAACGTAGCCGCCGCCATCGGCTTGCTCATCAAAGACAGTTGACAGATGTCGTCGAAGCAGTTGCCCCTGCCTAATATCTGGAGGGCCGTCAATACCTGTTGCATTTCATTTTGCGTATGGGGTGTGGAAGAGAGGTGGGGTCGGGGGCGTATGCGGACGAAATCGTGAGTCACGGTGCATAGTACTGTGGTTCTCGTTGTTGAAGCAGAGTCAACGCAGCGGTCCATTAGAGCAGGGTCAGCAATACTTTAGTCGACGCTGCGTCGAAGGTAGTGGCGTGTGTACAGAAACAATTACTTGTAGTTGCTGCGTGCAGCAATACCACAACATATGAACAGCCGTGGTGTGCCGCGTAGGTGCCCGCGCGTTTGGAAAGTGTGCAAGCGAAACCAGAGCGTACGCCGTTTTTCCCTGGCTGTGGTACGTCTACGGCAGTACTTCCTATGCCAGCGATGCGACGTTCGTGTGACGGTACAAGGCACGTTCCCTATCGATCCATGTTCTGCCACCACAGCAGTACTGCTGTGTACTCTCCGATACCAGCGGGTGAAGTTGTGCACTACAATCCAACGCATCGGCTCAATGCTCGGCACATCGCTGCAGTTCATCAACAACAACCTGCTTCTACTCGTGTATTGCACCATTGACGCATTGAAAGCCAAATAGGGTGACGGTGGGTGAACGTCCAATGAGACAGACAAACGGCGGTTTCGCCACCTAAAGCCAATGTACGTCGAACTGGAATATACCAAACGTCACTGAACGTGCGTATCTCGCACAAGTATGAAATACACAAGCTGCTGTGTGCATACCATGTATCTCACGGCCATTGGCCAACTTTATTGAAGCACCTGAGTAGCAGCAGCTTGACTGCTGTGTATCTGCCTGCTACAAGGCGTTCGTGAGCACCTTGCTGTTGCTCGCGTGGTGTGCTCACATACATCGAGCTCAGTTGGAAAACGCGTACACTAGGTTTTTGCTGTATAACACGACCCAAACGCACCGGCACATGTTCGGAANTATTGAAGCACCTGAGTAGCAGCAGCTTGACTGCTGTGTATCTGCCTGCTACAAGGCGTTCGTGAGCACCTTGCTGTTGCTCGCGTGGTGTGCTCACATACATCGAGCTCAGTTGGAAAACGCGTACACTAGGTTTTTGCTGTATAACACGACCCAAACGCACCGGCACATGTTCGGAATACCACTGCTGTTCACCACCTGAACTATCTGTGTTGAACGTACATACGGCGAGCGGTGTAGGTGTATCACACACGGGACAACGGGAAGTACGCTGCGTGCCAGAGCCACCTTGCACGGCGGGACTAAATACTGCGATCTGTTAAGCATAAACACAACCGGTGCTTTGTGTAGCGTCAAAAAGACCTTGACAACAGAGCACCAGAGGGTACGCTGCTGTGTACTATCAGAGCAACCGTGCACGGCTGGACTGAACAACGAACTACATGTACAAAGGGACCACGAATAGCACAACAGGTGCAAAGTGCATCGAAGAGACGATGGGTACAAGAGGCGAGCGGTGCCACAGCAGTACAGTCCAGACCGATAGGAGCTCACCTTCAGTTCAATTGGTATCCCCTGACGTCCGACAGAGCCTTTTCTCGCACAGAGAACCACTTCTTCCCCCTCGCCGGATTCACTAGTTCTAGAAAGGAGGCGTAAGGTACCCGGAAGCGAGTGCGGAAGACCTTCGCCGCCTCTGTGGTGTGGTCCAACAGGTCTGCATTTTGGAGCTGCAGCCACCACGCCGAAGTACTCCAATCTCTTCGCTCCTTCAATTGCCTCGAACGCTTCACGGGCGGACCATCCTGCTCACCGCTATCCTCCCACTCGAAGGCGTCGTCGAAGGCGCGAAGGCGCGTAGTGCGACGGCCCACTGGGCTAGCGTGCGATGCGTGCGGCTTCGCTGCTGGACTTGGTGAAGGGCCGAGAGGGCCATCGAGAGCACGGTGGGAGGCAGCAGGTCATNAAGGCAGCAGGTCATCAAAACCCGAAGCCATCGATGGCGCCGTGCAGTCGGGTGGGGCGTGCTGAAGAGGGTGCACGCTAGCAGATGCTGATAGAGCCCAACAGGAGAGGGCGGTGCAGCCGAGGGGCAGCCACATGGGTGTGCTGGGGCGTTGTGTGCTTGTCACAGCGCGTTGTACGCTTGTCCCAGCGCCCAGCGCGTTCCCGCCGACAGCAGCTTTTGAATTCAAATCGCGCCGCATGGCACCCCCCCCAATTATTATCCCAGGAATCCAACCCGATCCGGTTTGGAAAATGAAAAATGGGCCTATTTTCCAACGCGGCGGCCGGGATCCTAGGAAATATTCGGCGATTTGGAATTTGGGCGTTTGGAATTGGGCAAATTCCTCCGCGTAAGACGCTCAAATAAATATTCTATTTATTTGGGCTGAGAAAAGGACCCCCCCCCTGTATGAATCCCGAATTAATCACGACGTAAGACTCGGCCTGACCCCTTCGGCGCGAGAATTTTTATTTTTCAGACCAAGAACCTTGAGTGCAACGAGGGAGAAAGCGAGGAACCGACTGGGAACGACAGCAACGAGAGCGTTTCCAAAG